CATTGCCACCTGACACACAGACTTGCCTAGCCTAGGGGGGAAGTGAGTCACCCAGATCACATCCACCTTGAATGCAAATGTTCTGATTTAATGTTGTGCTTCTCTTCACGGATCCTGTGGTGACTCAGTGCTACCTCTGAGCTGCTGAGGTTGGTGAGCTTCCTTGGCGTCTGTGGTACCCCGCCATGCTGTTCTCACTGGGGCTGGGTGTGATGAATGGATTTGAGATTACTGAACTGGGAGTCTTCTTTGTCTGTACCTTAAGGAGGTCCATGATCTTTTCTGTAATGGCAAAAGAACCCAAAGGCTTTTTTCTGCCTTCCTGCAGGGCTAGATTTTACTGTGTTCATTTATTTACAGTTTATCCATTCTGCCCGAGGCCATAATGGATGAGGATTTGAAACAAATTTGAAGCAAAATTAGGAGAGATAGCTCAGTAGTTAAAAGCAGTTGCTTCATTTCCACAGGATGCAGGTTCAGTTCCCAGCACCTACGTATCAGCTCTCAACTGTCTACAACTCCAGTGTCAAGATAGCCAAAGTCTAATCTAACCTCCAAGGGCTCCTGAATGTGTATATATATATATATATATATATATATATATATATATGTGTGTGTGTGTGTGTGTGTGTGTGTGTGTGTGTATGTATATGTGCATATATATATTCTCACACATAAAATAAAATAGAATAAGTATATTTTAAACACTCAATATGCTAAGGGCTAATGGATATGTGAAACATATTTTTAAACATTTTTATACTTTTACTTTATTGTTGTAGTGGCATATGTGTTGTCTCTGTGAAATTTCTACTAAACAGCTTAGTTGAATAAAAAAGTAGCTGAATTAGTTTATAATCTCATGTAATTAAAAAAAAGCCCATGTTGTTCTTTGGACTCTATGTGTTAATAGAACAAATATATTATTTCCCTCTGCACACATCTTCTGGATGTCTTTTTTCCTTTGTATTTTCTTGTTGTTTTCTTTATCTTTTTGTATGTGTTCACATGCTTCTCTGAAAGAATGTCAATTTTCTTGGCGTCTAATTTCTTAACATCTACGATAAAGGAGAGCAATGCCTTATATAGGTTTAGAACTTGGTACATTAGTGTATTCTTCGGGTTGGCGTCATTCCTGGGGGAGGAATGGGAAGATGGTTAAAGATCAGACCCGGCTTCAACTTTGAACAGTTTATCTGTGATCAGCGGGAAAGGGCCCTGCACATTTATTAGGTGGTGATGTGTCTGGGCTGGCGATCCTGGGTTCTGTAAGGAAGCAGGCTGAGCAAGCTGCAGAGAACAAGCCAGGAAGCAGCACCCCGCCGTGGTTGGCATTTGCATCACGCCTGCCTCCAGGTTTCTGCCCTGCATGAGTTCCTGCCCACGCTCTATCATATGGAACTCTGAAAGAAGTAATCTCCCCACCCACCCCAAACTGCTTTTGGTCAATGTGTTTCATGACGGCATTGTCGTAACTAAGACAGCCAGTTACCTTTCCTTGTGACATCACTTTCTACCATGGCTTGAGGTTCACAGATAGTAGATGTCTGACAGGCATAGGTGCAGTGCTGTAATTCCACACCTTTGACTCACAGACTTGGGGAGTATGTCTTGGCCCATTGGTTTTAAAGCACACAAGCACACACACACACACACACACACACACACACACACACAGAGGGGGTGGGCGGCAGATTAGATTACTGGTCAGAGCCTCTGGAAAGGAAGGAAGCACGATACCAACTTAGTTAGACACTAAACACATAGCCCTATAATGGCATGCCAGCTTCTGACTGACCAAACCAGGAACTAATAAATGTGTTTTAAGTCACTGTGTTTGTGAAAATTTGGTAAGAAGCCAAAGAAAATGAACACATGAAGGAAATCTGCCAAAAAAGAAAAATCTATGTTTCTGATATCAAGCTCCTAGAATGATTTCAAGTTACAAAGAACAAACATCCATGAAATGCCTCCCACAACCCCTACGAAGAATCCCCAGTTTCATACTTCAGTGCTTAGCCACTGCCAATGGCTGATGCAGGGGCTATTACACTTCTTTGTAGCATTTAGGAGGTTTCCTCAGACTGGTGGTTTTAGACTTCGGGAGGGACATTTGGAAGGCTAGAGGCTCTCTGGGTAGACATTCGTTGCATGGTGGCAACAGGATAGGCGGAGTGGGAAGGCAGAGTCCTCCCTTCCTTCATGCTCATAAACCTTGCTGAAGACATAAACCTGCATTTGGAGATCCCTAATTCCAGGGTTCAGTGATGAAGTGGACTTGGCACAAGGGTCCAGGAGAGTGGGGACCTGGAGGTAAGCAGTAGGAAGGGGCTATAGTTTTCTGTCTGTGACGGACTTAGTGTCTGGTATGTGGTATTAGGTAGCAGGCCACCTTCCTTGTTTTTCCTGTGAGTCTCCTTGTTTTTGTTACTTCTCATTGAGTATTTGATGTATATCAGGTTTTGTTCTATTAGCATCATTACGATATTGAGATTTGGGCATTTTGTTTAACTATTAAGTCACTTCTTACATTATAGGAAAACATATTTTTTTCTTTTTTGAAAGACTGAACCACAGAGTGAGGACACACAGACAGTGCTGATATCTGTTCCTCTGCACCCCGCCATCACATTGACAGCACTTCCTTTTCTAGAGACCACATTTAACCCTTCAGTACCCAGATTTATACTCCCTGAACCAGAAAGCTGACCAGTGGGCTATCACTCCCAGACCATAACATGGCCATCGTATGCCAGTGTCGGAACGGCTGCAATGAGCTGGTCTGTAAGGTTTTTAAGACAATGCTTTTTTCCTGGGATGCCTGCTCTGCTGGGGTCCTAGGGGAAACAGAGGAAAGGTGGGAAACAGCATGTCTAGTCTGTTAGTCTTTGTTTACAGAATGATAGATCTGGCAGGGAAATTAATTGATGAGTTTCCTTAGACCTAGGCTTGTTTCATAGTCCCAAGAAGTTTAGTGTCTCAGCTCTGGGGGGACCACTTCATTATTTATTTCATTCAACAGAGGTTCCTCCCTCCTGCCCCTGAGCTCCTTTTAAATGCCAGAGCCTGTGCTAAGTGCAGGGGATCTAGACGGTGCTTCAGTACACACATAATCCGCATCCTCCTGGCAGCTACAGTCTAGTGTTCATATGCAATTACAAACATACATGTAATACAAAAAATACAAGACATTTCATAAAGGAGGTAGTACCATCAAGCTTAACCCTGATCCGGGTGTCATGTATCCACACAGCCAGTGTTGTCTAGAGCCTGGCATCTGAGGGAGGCTTTAGTGTCTCTTCTTCGTAGTTTTGTCGTACAAAAGCGGAATAGTCATAGCACAGCATTTCGGAATTTCTGTGTGAGTTCTGTGTCTTTACTTTAGTTAGGGCTTCCACTGTTGTGCTAAGACACCACGACCCTAAACAACTTGGGGAGGAAACGGTTTACGTTGCTTCCCCTTCCATGTCACAGTACATCACTCAGTTGTACAGGCACCCAGGACAGGAACCTGGAGGCGAGAACTGACGCCGAGGCCGTGGAAGGGTTCTTCTTTTGCTCTCTATGTCTTGCTCAGCCTGTTTTCTAATAGCACCCAGTGAGCCGCCACCCACAGTGAGCTGGGTCTTTCCACATTCATTATCAATCAAGAAAACGCACCACAGTCTTTCCCATGGGGTGATCTGGTGAGGGTGTTTTCTCACTTGAGGTCTCCCCCTCCCAAATGACTCCAGTACCATCATGATTCAGTTCATCCTTACAGTATGGCTTCTAGTGGATATTCACTGAGTCAGTAAATCCGATGCATACAGTGCTCCACATTCTAAAATCTATACATCATGTCCAAATGGAATGTTTCCATGTATAGTTTGGGGTGAATTCCATAGTTTCTGAATTTCACCTTAAAAGTAGTATGTCTTCTGGTAAAAATAACATACAGTAGTTTAATAATAGATTTAAACCAAAGGCCCATTCTCCTGTCTCCCCCCTTCTCTCCCTTTCTCTACTTTCCCTTCCATTCCACTGTTTCAGGTTCAGGTTCTCGTCATGGGTTCAGATGATGCTCGCGTCCAGGCATTTGCATATGGACCGGGGACGTTTGTTTAAACAAAATGGGGTCACAAGTGCACTATGCTCTTTCACGCTCCTGAAAAGAATCCTGTGACCTGTGGATTTATATCCACAGCTGTTTTTCTAGATTTGTTTCTGTATCGAGACACAGCCTTTATTGCTGTCCCTTCCTCCATGCTGTAGACACCCCATCCATCCACAGTCATAGACACTGTTGTTGTCATTCCTCTACCTGCCTCCCATGTGCCCAGGAGTTCGTCTTACTCCCATGTGCTTCTGATACCACCTGAAATTTTCCTGCTACAAACTGGAAAGGTCTTAAGATTAAACTCTAGCTGAACCAAAACTCGAGCAGCAAACCCGGGCTTGATGGAAACAGCCTATCAATAAAGAAAATATAGGAGCAGAGAAAGTCGGCTCTTTGCTTCTAGGTGCAGTTCACTGTAAATCTGTAAATCCAGTTCCCCTGCAAATCTGTCCCGCTCAGCACTGTAGTACCTGGAAACATTACTTCCAATGACAGTTCATCCAAGGACATTTGAAAGGTTCCCTGCAGTTACAGGTCATCTGAGGTCATTTTCCTATTAATCAGGAAAAGACAATCCAATTATTTGCGAAGATCTTTGATAGCTCTGTTGTTCAGTTGCTGCTTAATTAGTTTACTAAATTAAGGGCTTGGTGGGAGATAGTACCATTGCAGAGCATGTGGAAAACCATGCAGCATGTAGCAGTGACTGTTTCTGACCTGATCACTTGAAACCTTTATTGTCTAGATCTACTGTCATTAGTAATTTAATGCAGCCTGCTGATATGCTTTAAGAAATATGAACTGGATTCTGATTGTGAAACCAAAGGCTGCTTACCTATGAGAGAACTCTGAAGGAACCTCACACTGACTTTTGCTTTGTCTGTGGCTACTTTCTTTGCAGGGAACTGCGCACAGGGTTTGACCAGGTAGACGCCCCTTGCTGTTGTTCCCAGCTGCCCGGTGAGTACCCACCCTGGAACTCATGGGGACGAATTGTACTGGTGGCATTTGGAGTTTGAGATCCGTGAGACAAATCTTTTCATCCAGTGTCTCTTAAAATTGGTGCGGGACTGTTTTCCTTGGCCTGGTGGAGAGGCAAGCGGGATTTTCTGGGTTTTGCCTCACTAATTAGGCGACTGACTCAGCCCCTTACTGTATTCTCGTTGCTTGTGACAGTGCTACCTAAATTTATTTTTTTATTTTTTATTTTATTTTTTTTAATTTTTCGAGACAGGGTTTCTCCGTACCTTTTTTTGGTTCCTGTCCTGGAACTAGCTCTTCTAGACTAGGCTGGCCTCGAACTCACAGAGATCTGCCTGCCTCTGCCTCCCGAGTGCTGGGATTAAAGGCGTGCGCCACCACCGCCCGGCTTGCTGCCTAACTTTAGAAAGCATTGAGGGGACAGCTGTGTAGGTTCTCTTTAGAAAATTCCCACCATCATCAAAAATCACAGCCCTCCTTGCTCACCAGTGAGAAGCTTTTATTTTGGGTCATCTTCCTGCGGGAGTGATGTCAGTCAGTTCCTTGCACACCCCTCTGACTTTACTGTCAATCCTTCAGGGGATGCCCAAGTCACCAGAATTATCTTCGTGTAACCCACTGGTTTTCTTTACAAATGGACACTGTCGGTGCTTTGTAAGAGGACCCAGTCCCAGCTGAGATGAGAGACTGCCGTCGTCAAATGGCTGTGTTTTAATTCCTGTTACCACATCCTTTAAGAGGCACGAAGTCACTTTTCAGTGATTCCCATGAACCAGTGTCTCCCCTGGTCCTCATGACAGGTGCACGCAGAGTCCCACGCTTTAGTAACAGTCTTCTTCAGGAGACTGCACCCCAGGCCAGATGTGTCATTATCTCCCGGCACTGACCCTGGCTGATTTTCTTCCGGCCTCTGTGTGAGGGGAAGGAAGAATTGCATAACTTGACCCATCTCCAAATGACAATTCTTTAGTGACATAAGAGTATCAAGAAAGTAGATTTATTATTGAATGTTCCTATCTATTTTCAGTCCAGTGTACTATATTTTACCACCCCCAAAGGGTGACTCATAAGCTTGTCTTGGTAGGCACAGTCCAGTTCAGGATGCTGAGTAATTTTGGAGACTTTGTATCAGCCTAAATACACCCTTTGCTTTCTATTCTGTTTGCATTTTATCTTTCTGGGCTGTCTACTCTTCCCATACTTCAGTTACTGTATCCATAGATGGGCCACGTTTCTGCTCATTTTATCACACACACACACACACACACACACACACACACACATACACACACACAAATATGTATATATATTGTCTGGATGAAGGCATCTGAGTTTAATGAATAGAAATAACTAGCGTCATGAGTCACAACAGCACCAGAATGGGGGATTGGTTTGTTCCGTGTTCTGGGTTCAAGGAGGAATGCTTCTGTGTCACATGGTCTGTGTTTGGCATTTGATGAGATGCAGACTTTCGTTGGCTCTAAGCTTTAGGACAGCAGATCTCTCATGAGGCTTATCCCTCCCCATCCCCACAGCCCTGGTTGGACTTTACTCCCTGGCTGTCAGCTGACATCCTTGTGTTTCTCTCGCCCTTAAGTGCAGACGAGAGTTCTTTTCGACTTCCCTACAGGAACTCCTAAAAAGAAAAGCATTTGGTCTCACTTAAGCACCACTCAGTGTTACATCTTATGAATTATGATGCTCTGAAAAATAGTGAATGATCTTGCCAGGTGTAGTGGTGCACTCCTTTAAGCCTAGCACTTGGGAGGCAGAGGCAAGAAGACGTCTGTGAGCTTGAGGCCAGCCTGGTCTACAAAGTGAGTTCCAGGGCAGCCAGAGCTACACAGAGAAATCCTGTCTCAAAATAAACAAAAAACAAAAAAACAAACAAACAACAATATTGAATAAGGGTGCTGGAGAGATGGTTGCTCAGTAGTAGTTAGGAGCACCTGCGGCTCTTCCCGAGCAATCACTAGCACCCACGTGGCAGCTCACAACTGTCTGCAGCTCCAGCTCCAGGACATCCAGCACCCTCACACAGACACACGTGTAGCCAAAACTCCAGTGCACGTAAAATTAAAAAAATATTAAAAAATATTGAATGAATTCTTTGTACAATACAAAAACCGGAAAGCACTGGGCGGTGGTGGCACACACCTTTAATCCCAGCACTTGGGAAGCATAGACAGGCGATCTCTGTGAGTTTGAGACCAGCCTTACCTACAGAGTGAGTTCCAAGACAACAAGAGCTGTTACACAGAGACAGCCTGTCTTGAAATAAATAAATAAATAAATAAATAAATAAATAAATAAATAAATTTTTAAAAAAGAAAAGCATTTAGAACTGGCATCTGAGCAATGTTGATCGTGTTTTGGAATGTTGCTTTAGGCCCTTTGGCTCCAACAGCGAGTTATTTCATAGTACATAGTAGTTCAGTACTTTTTAGTGTATTTTGTGTCCACAGTGTGCATTCAGAGTATATTTTAGTTCTCGTGGTGTGTTTTAGATTCTGCTTATTTATACCACATCAAACTTAGCTTATTACCAGTGTTAGTCAATAAAATTTAAAAATTAAAGACCTATACAATTTGGGCTGGAGAGATGGCTCAGTGGTTAAGAACACTAATTGTTCTTTCAGAGAACCTGGGTTTAGTTCCCAGCACCCCCAATGCAACTCACATCTGTCTGTTCCTCTAGTTCTATGGGAAGTTAAACCCTCTTCTGGCCACTGTGGGCACTAGGCATACAAGTGGCTCACAGACATACATGTAGACAAAAACCCCATACTCATAGAAGAAAAAAATACCGTGAACACAATGACCATTTTTAGGTAAATTATCCTCATTTTTATGTTGTTAAAGATTTATGTCTGATCAAGCTAAAGATAATTTGTAAATTTGGAAAAAGAAAACAACTTTGGTTCTTGGATTGTAGAGCTGCATTTATTTCAAACCCTTACGCATTAACGACGCTGTGATTCATGTGGCAGCAAGAATAGCCATGGAAGTCTATAGGCTACGGTTTTATATTTTCAGAGCGTAGCACTCATGTCGGGATTCTCACGCTGAGGCTGGGTGTGGTGGAACATGAACGTGGGATGTCATGGCAGGAGGATTGTGGGTTCAAGGCCAGCCTGGGCTATATAGCAAAATCATATATCAAAAACAAATCACAACACCAATAAAATATATAGAACTTGACGATTTCTGCACAAGTGATTCATTAATCAGGTCTCTCAGGGAACATTAGTAAGTGGAGCCAGGGGAAGAAGCAAGATGCTTGCCCAGCCCGATTAGGAGGTGGGGTGGAGGGATCCTCAGCCCAGAGATCTAGAGATTCTGCTTCATGGGGCAGCTGAGCTGGGTGACTCCCTTCCCCATCAGCCTCTGGCTATAGGCAGAACTGCTGCTGTCTTCCTCTGCAGGAGAAGATGCTGCCCTGGTGGAAGAGGCTCTACTTGGGAAGTTTCAGTTATATCCCTGCATCTCTTCTGTTCTTTCCCAGTGAAAGTTAAGCCTTTCTGAAATTATATGAAATTCATTTTCTTCCCTTGAGAATGTACTAAACTATACCTTCGTTCTCTAAGTCCTTATATGACTGCAATGTTGAAAGACACCTACGTTCTTCCCAGCTAGTGGGAATTAGAGCTAGAAAAAATTAGTATTTGAAAGTCTTCTTTAAATCATTGTTGCCATGAATAATGACCTCAGTGCAATGAAGAAAGAGACAAAGATACCATGTGATTATATGATTGAAAATCATTCTTTCCAGAAACAAATCCAAGTTTAATATTTACCACCACCACCACCAACAACAACAACCACATCACCATTACCACCTCCACCACCACCACCATCATCACCACCACCAACCACATCACCACTACCACCAACAGCAACTACATCACCACCACCACTGACAACAACCACACCACCACCATCTCCACCATCACCACCATCATTAACAACAACCACATCACCACCAACAACAACTACATCACCACCAACAACAAGCACATCACCACCACCTGCACTACAACACACCACTACCACATCACTGAGCCAACGCCCCCAGCCTGACGTAATTCCCTTTGTTCTTATCTCTTTTATTCATCTTTTGAAAACATTTTCACAACCGTCTTAGGGAACAACTTGCATTTCCTTAGGCACCTTCAGTTTCAAAATGACACAAAAGTTCATGTTTGCCTGCCTGAGCTCTGAGATCACCGCTGCCCACCATGTGAGCTATGCATATCATTTTAAAACACTTGATTTTCTAGTCTCAGTAAAGAAAACAAACAGAGCATAGCAGCCAAAGCTGAAGGCTGGGAGTCTTAACATGGTCAGTTAAATGAATACGAATGATGTATTTAGCCTAGCTTATCCAGATTATTATCGTTTGACATTTAATCAGTATAAACATTGTTGAGATGTCATACTTTTTAATACCGGTGCATCTTGTGTGTGTGTGTGTGTGTGTGTGTGTGTGTGTTCACATGCACATACAAGTGTACTTTTATACAAGTACATAGACACTTTTATGACTATTCATGTGTAGTCCAGAGGACAACGTAGGTGTCTGCCATCTACCTTTCCTTGAGACAAGGTTGCTCACTGAACCTGTAATTTCTTGAGCAGGCCAGGCTGGCTAGCCTGTGAGCCTCTGAATCCATGTGTCTCTGCCTCCCCAGTGCCAGGGATTACAAATGCACTCCACCCATGCCTGACATTTTTTAAAAATATTTATTTATTTATTATGTATACAATAGTCTGTCTGTGTGTATGTCTGCAGGCCAGAAGAGGGCACCAGACCTCACTACAGATGGTTGTGAGCCACCATGTGGTTGCTGGGAATTGAACTCAGGACCTTTGGAAGAGCAGGCAATGCTCTTAACCAGTGAGCCATCTCTCCAGCCCCCATGCCTGACATTTTCATGTGGGTTCTGGGGATTCAACTTCAACCTTTGTGCTTTATCAGT